ATCATGTGATTACCTCAAACCATCAAGTAATCGTGTGATTTTTTTTTTTTTTTCTACACAGACTTCTCCTAAACTGTACAGCAATTCTCATCGCAAACATAATGGAGTCTACAAATTTAGTAAAAGAAAAATAACTCCTTTGTTATTTTAATGAGCTAGCCATATGATATAAATTGCACACAAAAAATCAGTTGATTTTTTTTTCTTTCATGATACTGTAACAGTAGGAAAGGTGTTTCTCAAATTTGTATTCAGCCCAGTTAATCCGACACCCCTATATAAGGTCAAGTGCAACCATCTGCCTATGGTATTGTCATAGTTACAGTAAAGCCCACCTGTTTCAAATTTAATCTCAGTACAAATCAACCAATCTGTATAAATCCATCATGAAGAACAAGAAACACACTACATAGGCTAGGCATAAAGCTGTGGAGGAATTTAAAGCAGAGTCGTTTTGAAAAATATCAAGATCCAGATTTAGACTACTTGGTAGGTTTGAAAAACTACAAATCTACAAGGACATGGCTGTCAGTTTAGCTGAAAGTCTTACCAAGTAGTAATGACAATACTATTCAAATATCAAAAGGGATAACTTTCTGAGAATCTGCAGAGACCCTTGGTTGAAGCGAGATCATCTCTGCTTTCAGATGATATGCACACCCCAAATCGGGTGTGAAGAGGTTAAAGAAATTGCTGAGAGATAGTTATATGAAAACATGTTTGGTACAAGTCATGTGGGGGACACAAATAGTTTAAAGAAGATTAGTGCTCTGTTGAGATGAGTCTAAACTTAAAATTGTACACTGATATAAATCTATTGATTTCATCCATATGGTGAAATATCACAGTGGCAGCATTATACTGCTATGAGGATTTATTTTCTTAAGGAAAAAACAACCTTTTAGAGTAAAGCTATACACTGCAAATCCTAATTGCGATGAGAATTCCATCCTCTGGTGTAGATCGAAGTAAATCCATGTCTTACAATGACCTATTTACAGTACAAACACTAATGCCAATTAATGAATCTTTGTTGCAAACATAGAAATATGTGAAAAACCACAACCCAGACATCCTTATGACACACACATACACACATTGTGCTATACCTAGTGAGGACCATGTGTTGACTCCCTTTGTCTTCCATTGATTTTCAGTAATTTCAACCCTTTCTATGCCCTAACCCTAAAACTAACCCTAAATCTAACCATTACCAATGCCTACCTCACCTTAACCCTAACTCAATTGAGACCTTAGCCCTAAACCTATCCATTATCAATATAGCTTGGGAGGACCGGCAAAATGTCCTTACTTTGCAACAACTGGTCCTCAATTTGATGGTGAAATTGGAAAAATGGTCCTCACTCTGAGGGCTAGACAGGTACATACATGGTTATAAGATCATGCTGCATTTTGCATTTTTGCTTTAGTTCACAATTAATAGTATAACTGGTATGAGTCAATGTGATGATAGATGGAGTTTGCTATATATGAATGAAGCACGATAAAGGTTGTAAAAAAGGGAAATGAGTGGAAATTGAAATTCTATCAAAACAAGACTCTAGTACCTACATGTGTTAATGCTTTTCAGTGTGAAATAATCTTAAGTATCTATCCCTTTCTGGATTTGGGTATGACTTTAGGTACTGCATTGTAAATGTCCTGGAATTTTATTTAATGAAGTCCAACTGAAGAAACTAAAAAACTTGCCCTCATCATCAGAGGCTCAAATGCCTCTGACGCAAACAAATTAGATTTGAACGGCACCTCAACGAAGTCCAATACGCATTCAGACTTCATCTTAAAAGGACTTCAAATCCACAACTCCAGCGCGGATTCCATCCTCTGAGACATGTTGGTCCATGCAGTGCTCCAGAGATTCGCGGCGCCGCCACGCTCTCCTCGCCCCAGTCCCCACACAAGTCTCCATGTTCCAGCCATCAGCAGTCACCTTAGCTCGCTCCCGTTCAACTGGCTTACACCGATTCTCATCAGGTGAGACGTATTTGTTTCAAGACTCCAATGTTGAAAGCTATGTCATGGTGGCTTAATCAGCAGATTGTGCTCTGCTTTTGTTGGATGAATCAACGTCGATTTTGTATTGATCCTACGTTTCTTTCAGTCTGTTTTGATTTCAATTAAAATTCATGCTTTGTCACACCCATTCCAATTTTAAAGTAAGAAATTTAAATTTAGAAACCAAAATTATTGTAGTTATAAAGCAAAAGTAAGTTATTTCCGGTTGTCATTGATATCTAATTACAGGTGCTGGTCATAAAATTAGAATATCATGAAAAAGTAGATTGATTTCAGTAATTCCATTTAAAAAGTGAAACTTGTATATTATATTCATACATTACATACAAACTCATATATTTCAGATGTTTATTTTGTTTAATTTTGATGATTACAAATGACAACAAATGAAAATCTCAAATTCATCATATCAGAAAATTAGAATATTACTGAAGACCAATAAAAACAAAGGATTTATAGAAATGTTGGCCAACTGAAAAGTATGAACATGAAAAGTATGAGCATGTACAGCACTCAGTATTTAGTTGGGCCTCCTTTGGCCTGTATTACTGCAGCAATGCGGCGTGGCATGGAGTCGATCAGTCTGTGGCACTGCTCAGGTGTTATGATAGCCCAGGTTGCTCTAATAGTGGCTTTTAGCTCTTCTGAATTGTTGGGTCTGGTGTATTGCATCTTCTTCTTCACAATACCCCATAGATTTTCTATGGGGTTAAGGTCAGGAGAGTTTGCTGGCCAATTAAGAACAGGGATACCATGGTCCTTCAACCAGGTACTGGTAGCTTTGGCACTGTGTGCAGGTGCCAAGTCCTGTTGGAAAATGAAATCTGCATCTCCAAAAAGTTGGTCAGCTGCAGGAAGCATGAAGTGCTCTAAAACTTCCTGGTATGTGGCTGCGTTGACCCTGGACCTCAGAAAACACAATGGACCAACACCAGCAGATGACATGGCACCCCAAACCATCACTGACTGTGGAAACTTTACACTGGACTTCAAGCAACGTGGATGAAGTGCCTCTCTTCTTTTCCTCCAGACTCTGGGACCTTGATTTCCAAAGGAAATGCAAAATTTACTTTCATCAGAGAACATGACTTTGGACCACTCACCAGCAGTCCAGTCCTGTTTCTCTTTAGCCCAGGCAAGACGCTTCTGACGCTGTCTGTGGTTCAAGAGTGGCTTGACACAAGGAATGCGACAGCAGAAACCCATGTCTTTCATACGTCTGTGTGTGGTGGTTCTTGAAGCACTCACTCCAGCTGCAGTCCACTCTTTGTGAATCTCCCCCACATTTTTGAATGGGTTTTGTTTCACAATCCTCTCCAGGGTGCGGTTATCTCTCTTGCTTGTACACTTTTTTTCGACCACATCTTTTCCTTCCCTTCGCCTCTCTATTAATGTGCTTGGACACTGAGCTCTGTGAACAGCCAGCCTCTTTAGCGATGACCTTTTGTGTCTTGCCCTCCTTGTGCAAGGTGTCGATGGTCGTCTTTTGGACAACTGTCAAGTCAGCAGTCTTCCCCATGATTGTGTAGCCTATAGAACTAGACTGAAAGACCATTTAAAGGCTTTTGCAGGTGGTTTGAGTTAATTAGCTGATTAGAGTGTGGCACCAGGGGCCATCAATTTTGAACCTTTTCACAATATTCTAATTTTCTGATATGATGAATTTGAGATTTTCATTTGTTGTCATTTGTAATCATCAAAATTAAACAAAATAAACATCTGAAATATATGAGTTTGTATGTAATGTATGAATATAATATACAAGTTTCACTTTTTAAATGGAATTACTGAAATCAATCTACTTTTTCATGATATTCTAATTTTATGACCAGCACCTGTAAGTCACTTGAGCCTAATATTTCAAATATATATTAAAACGTTAATGCTTTGATCTAACAGCAGGAAAACTGTCCTCGCTCAGTCAATCAAGCAAACACTGGTTAATCACTTTTCCTGCATTATCTGATAGTACAGTCCAAGTCTTCACACCACTTTCTCGCATATATGTAGTAAACATCTAAGCGGATGTCTCGGCACTCTAAATTATAAAAGTTAAGCTTGGCAAGCTATGTCGGCTTATCCTCTCCATCAGTGTAATCGAGATAGAATGTATTAATTCCCTAGAGGAAACTCAACATTTATCATCTTAAAACTAAATCATGGGTCATTTTCAAACCTCGTGGAGTAGCTTATGCATTTTTAGATGACTTAATCATGTTTACTGTTGTTTGATTTTTAACACATGCAAATGAGCGTAATACTCATTCGGCCGCCTCATAGTGAAAGGTTTCAGTTTTTAGGATGCGCTCTACCCATCGTGGCGGGCCCTTAGTGGTGTCCTCTGCCTAATGGGCGGGTGCATTATGGCCCCATCACCCATCTATGCAGTCGCATCATGAAAGGTGCTTCACTTCGAACCCCTTATTACATGATGGCTCAATGGATGATTAAGTTTAACCATTGCGGCTTGCATGTTGGGTCTTCCAGTCATTGCAGCTTGATGTTCAATTATTTAATTAATATTATTAGACCGCTTCTTGACTGGAATGGAAAATCTTTTTCTACGATGACGTTATTCTGTCTGCAGCCATGCTTCAGTTTTTATGGATGCTGCCCCATCCATAGGTTTTGGGAGATTCGTTCAAAGTAGTTGGTTTGCAGATTCATGGCCTACATGGAATTATTTATTTTGTTCTTGCCATCTTTTATTTATTTTCACCATCATTTTGTGTGCCTTTCTGTCAAGTTGTGAACTGCAGGCAGCTTCTCTACTGGTGCAGATGGGAAGTCAATAGAAGCATGTGACCTATATTATAGGTAACTCTACTAACTCTCAGTGTGTGTGTCACAGGTAAGAGCGGAATATTAAGGATTGCTTGAGCCCTGTTCCAGAGTATTTGTGTGTTTGTCTGTGAGTGTTTTTTTAGGTGTTGTTCACCAGAGACTAGACGAAGGTTAATTACCTCCCCGTCCTTCGCTGTCGGCTGGCTTCACCTGAATAGGTCGGTTCATCTGAGGAAGCAAAAAAGAAGAGAAAGGCAGTTCCAGTTTAGCCAAACAGAAGGTAACTTTACAATATAGAAATTGTATATATAGTTATATAAAGCAAATAAAGAATATATATATGGTGTATATAACTTAAATCAAATCAAAGTTCTGTGAAATCAAACAGTTCACTTAGCAAATAATACTTTGGACAATGTATTTTACATGCTGTTGCGCAAATATAATAAAAAAACAAGGTGGAAATTATTGGCAATTAGCAAGGGGCACTTATTAAAGGAATGGTTCTGCAGGTGGGCACCACAGACCACTTCTCACTACCTGTGCTTTCCAGTCTATTTTTCTTTTCACTTTTGAATGTTGGTGGTAGCATGAGACAGATTCTACAAAACACACAAATGGCTCAGGTAGTGCAGCTCCTCCAAGATGGCAGATCAATGCATGAGCTGTGGCAAAAATATTTTCTGTATCTGTCAGCATAGTGTGCAGAGACATGGACACCAGGAGCCATGGAGGAGGCCATAGAAGTGCAACAACACAGCAGCAGGACCACTACCTCCGACTTTTTGCCAGCAGGAACTGGAGGAGCACTGCCACAGACCTGCAAAATGACCTCAAACAGGCCACAAGATGCAGATTGTGTCTGCACAAACTGAAACCAACTCAATGTAGATGGTATCAGGGTCTGACGTCCACAGTCGGGGCGTGTGCTCACAGCCCAACACCATGCAGGGCGCCTGGCATTTGCCAGAGAACACCAGGATTGAGATTGGATTGAGCTGGATGCTGGAGGTCTTCACCAAAGATGGTGGAAAGGGACAGACTAGCTGCACCTGCACTAAACCAGCTGTTTGAATTTGGCAGCCATTTCCTTACTATTCCTTTACTAAGAATGGCGTGGTTTAACTCACTGTTATCTGGGGAGATGAGTCATCAGGACTTTATATAAATTTGTTGCTGTGGATTGAGGATCAGTGTAGCTTCAGTATCAGGCCTGCACTGGGTTTATTGATTATATTGCCGGTTTTAATTTGTCTTATTTTTTGGTGGGCCCACTAATTAAAGATTTTAATTTATCATTTATGTATTGTGTTAATACTAAAGGACTCCTATGTGGTTGGGGCTGTTAAAAATAATTTAATTTAGAACTTCATAAGCATTTTAAAGAAAGGGAAAGTCCCTATTTATAAACCAGGTTGTTGAAAAAGCCTGTTGTATTTTATCTGTTTTTTATTTTCTGGTTAATTGAAAGAGTACAAAAAGGCAAGCAGATAATACCCTAAGTCTTTTTTATTTAAGCAAGCCTATTCTGCCTCCACATGATTTTTATGTTGTTTATTTTTATCTTTGATTTTATTGACCACATGATTTTTATGTTGTTTATTTTTATCTTTGATTTTATTGACCACATGATTTTTATGGTTGATTTTTATCTTTGATTTTATTTGCACTGTGTAGCACTTTGAGATTTTTCTTAATGAAAAGTGCGGTACAAAATTGGATTTATTATTATTATTATTATTATAATTACCCATTTTTGTTTCTAATTTTTCAGTCCGACATAATAGCACTATTTGTGAGGGGAAATTCCACAATTTCTCACGTGGTCTGCTGTAATTTTCATTCTGAATTTGGTAAATAAATACTTTACAGAGTCTCATTATTTATGGGTCAGACGGAAACAGTTCAACAAAGTTTAATTCTTTATGAAAGGTACCTGCAGTATCATGGGAAATGTATTGAAACCAGGGTCTAACATTAAATACATAGCACTCAGAGCGCTAAATCTAGCCTATTAGATACCAGAAAAAAGTACTTTTGTATTTGTGACAATTGAGACTGTTGTAGTTCCTTGGCCCAGGCATTGTAGGGAGGTCATACAGACAAATGGAGGCCACATACAATATTTGTACCTGTTTTAAGGAAATTACATCAAAATTGGATCAGCCTGCTGTGCTTTTCTATTTTAATTTTGTGTGTGACTCCATAAGCAAGCCTTCATTGGTTATAAAATGTGTTTTTGTTGATGGTATTTTTGCAATTTTGTTGTGAGCACATTCAACTTATACAGAACAAAGTATGCAATGAGAATAGGTCACTCATGCATTCTAGAAGGTGTTATTTAAATGTTTTATTTTATTGCTTTTTTATGTGTGCTTTTTTATTAGTAGTATATATAACATGACAGTGCTTCTTGTGTCTGTTTTCCAAATTTGCTCTATTTTGTGTGGAAAGCACAAGAACTACGAAGTTAAAAAAAGGATAAATCTGTGTAATGCCCAATGACTGTCTTTAATTAATCCTGGGCAAAGTCTCCAGAGAACCTGAATTCCCCTTACAGCTGAGCAGAATTAGCACTTTTCAATGACAGAGTCACACTAGGTGTCAGTTGGCACTTGAAGATTAATGCTATTACATCAGCTCCTCCCAGTCACACTGGGAGGGGTCTTATCTGACTGGTCCTCGCTCCTCCTGTCCCCTACTAGGTCCAGACTTACAGTCGCCAACTATATTACGCTCATCCCTGACCCTTAATAATTTCTTCTGCTTTTTTGTGTCTCGCTTCTGTTCACAAGTGTTATGCCTCACACAGCCATTAAGGTAACATCGTCATCAGCCTATTTCAAATAGTACAGGTCATCTCCTTCTTCTGAAAACTATTGAAAGACTGAAAGCAGCACAGCTATAAAACACGTACTGAAAGTTTAACAGTGGGGAGTAGATAAACAACCTTTGAGAAAAATCCTTGCAGAAGTAAAATCAAAAATGTTTGAAGCTCACATAAAATGAAAACTGTTCAAAATGAAAGCTCAATTGGTTCTTTCCCCATGGAGTTCAAGACAAAAAAAAACAACAAAAAGAGTTTGAAAGTTCAGAGCCATGTCTTAAGATCGAGTGTACTGAGTGTGCCTTCACACATCAAATTTGGCACTTTTTTCTTTCTACTATAGGCTTTAATGGCCATGTCCTTTAAATTAGAAATTTTTACCAGGTTTTCTGCCTGTCAAAAGGCCTGTGACTGGCAGAAAACATTGCCCACTCGGATCAGTCAGATACAGGGCAACATATTGGATGTTGTTCCCTCAGGCAATGCAGAATCTGACAGCAGTTGACATAAACTGAAACCATAGCTAAATATTGACCACAGATTGCTCGACATGTATAGATACAGTAAGATACTACTGTATGTTGGTAGTATTGTGCTCCCCTGACAATATACCTTTAGCACTTTAATAAATGTTATTGAGAAAACAAACACATATTTAGCGTTTAAGTTTTTTTGTATAGGCAAAGAGACTATTATTCATATGGCACATGATACAATTCTGGTATATCTATTATTGGCTAGGCAGCCACTTTCATAGTTCACCACAAAAACAATCTGAAGTTGTTATTATGGATGCACACAATCTTTGCCTGTGGAAAAATCAGATGCAGCGAGGAAATTTGCGTTTGTATTACAAATAGCTGATAAATCGAGATAGCCTGTCCATTTTTCAAAGTATAGATATTGCCCATTGAGTTTATATTTGCCTTTTGTTATTATTAACATAGCATAAAGGTGTTCTATAATTTATTGTCTTTTGACATGAAGAACACCACCAAACTTGAAAATGGAATTTACTGAGCTGCAAAATGACAGCACACTCAGTCCTACACAGCTTCACCCCTCTATCTCTGGGTAGATGCCCCAATTCTGCTTCCACCCTGCTTCAATGTTTGGTAGTTAAGTACCTGCTTGGCAGACGGTTCTCTGTGATGTAGATGAAGAAGTAAGGATGCACAAGCAAACTCACTGAAGTGTATCTTAAAGGAATATCATTTTCAACTGCTCAAAACCTTTACACCAAACACAAAAGGGCTTCTCATCAAGCAACTGTGACAAGCATGGTGTAAAATCTATATAAGATTAGCTTGATTTTAATAGTGTTAGAGCAGTTAACATTACATAGAATTTGTCTTCTTCATTAAACCAACACCCTAATGGAGCAAGGTGCAGTTTATATTACCTGAGCACAAATCTAGGCCTAAAGGGCTGGTTAAACTCCCGCAGCAGTGTGTTGCAGAGGGCTTGTTGCAGGTATGACACAGACATTTTTGATTTATGGTCAATATTGAAGCGTGATCTTCACTGTTATTCCATCCCACAACACAGGAGTGACAATCACAAACTCACTGTGGGTCTAGTTACAGCCGAGGAAGTGAGGAAGTTGGGGCAAATTTGTCCGACAACGGAGGGACATATGGGCGAAAAACATCGGGGACCTAGGTGGAAAAAGGGTCCCAGCGTTCTCGCATACCTCGCTCTTCTAGCTGGTCCAAGTCCACATGTAGTTTTTCACAATGACAGTCATACAAACAAAAGAAGCCGGTAAGGTACCAAACAGGAAATACGCATAGTTTGGAGCAGATGTAGATTTGACCAATCAGAGGCCTCCTGTCTGCGGCACTGTCTGCAGTCCCCTACAATTTGGGAGAGGTGCAGCATAGTATCTGCGGAGGGGGCGGGGACGTCTCTTACTTCGTTTTGAAGTATAAATGAGCCTTAAGGATCAGTGAGACGGATTGACAGACATTCCTTTTCTATTCTTGACTCACAATTCTTTTTGTGTTGATCTTTAGTTGTTTAAGTTTTGGAGTTTCATTGCTGGATTGTTTGGAATACTATGGTCCTTCCATACCTCAGTTTTCCTTCAACTGTTTCTCTGATATTAACTTTGTATTCATTATTACATTTGCTGGGGAGCTTACCTGAACTTTCTGAAATATGTCATCTTTGTTTAGCTTAGACTTAGACTTTTAGTTTTTTTTTTTTTACCACAGTTCACTTACACATTTCTTGTTTGGCAAGTTGACTATAACTTGTAAACAAAGCAACACATGAGACGATTGTTCCTCTCATTGGACAGAAAGGAGTATTGTGGACCAGAACATAGACCCAGATATATAGCAAAACTATCATGGAATTTTTGCATGCCTTTCCTTTATTTTAGCTTCAAAATAACTGT